TATGTTCTAGCCATTCTATATATGGACACCATGCTGAAACTTGCTTGTTGGCAACCAGGCGTGATGCTTGTCTGATAGTGTTTAGCAACTTTTTTATAAGAGGTTTAGCACGTGGTACTCTTAGACAATGACTCTGGCAAAATGCACCCCATAAGTTATCTAGATATTCATATTCCAACATTTTATTGGATGCTTTGTGTGTTCCATCATAGAAGGAGTGGGATTTTTTAATGAGTATTTTTTGGTTTCATGAATGGACTGCTTGTCAATACTAAATAGCAGTAAGACTAGAAAATTCTATTTGGTGTTTGTGGTCGCAAGGAAGTTGATGAGAGATTGAGAAACGAGTAGTATTTCAAGTCCTGTTTCAATGCCCCAGGAATCCTTATTTGATTTATGCTTGGAACGTGCCATTTGTGAATTGATTCATCCTTTGGAATGAAGTTCTTCATACTATGGGGTTGTTTATCTTTGTATGGTTCATGGTTGTCTCCTGGCTGCCCTTTCTGATTAATACCGCCTTGCCACTGCACATGGGTAATCCCTCATTTTTTGATAATTGCACTGCAAATTGCTAATCTTTTACCAGACTGAGTTCAGCGAAGCTTATTGTCTTAGTTTGTTGTTAATGCTGTGGTTGCTATGTTGTTATTTGTTCAATTGGGTTGACTTTGGTTGATTTGTCAACTTATTTCAGAATCATCTGTGACCTGACATTATTCATCAGCAGGTGTTCTCAAAGGTTGTTTACCACACTGATCCTAGGCATCCTGGAATATATGAATTAACACAATAATTTTCCTTCTACCCTTGTGGTTATCTTCCAGTACACCTAGTAACAGAGATTGGTGGTTATTGGTTAATTTCAATTCAGGCTGCTGTGGTAGAACTATTATAACTTAAATTATTTCTGGTAAACAAAGGTTGTTTACCACACTGACCATAGGKACCCTGGAATATATATAACATAATAATTTTTCTGTTACCCTTGTTATCTTCCAGTACCCCTAGTAACAGAGATTAGTGGTTAATGATCCAGCATTTTATATTTGAGACTACCTGACCTTGTGATTTCTGTTCATTCCCCTGATGTGCATGCTGCTGTTTTTGTGAGTTGGGCTGATGGTTCCTTGCTAAGCTATTCAATTGTAGGTTCGAACTTGTCTTATCCGGCTGCTTTTCAAGTAACTGTGCTTCACTTTTGTGACTTCCTTGCAGGATGGATTCTCAGGTGAAGCTTGCAGTCGTGGTGAAGGTAATGGGACGAACTGGGTCAAGGGGACAGGTGACTCAGGTCAGGGTCAAATTTCTGGATGAYCAGAACAGGCTTATCATGAGGAACGTGAAGGGACCTGTCAGGGAGGGTGATATCCTCACCTTGCTYGAGTCTGAAAGGGAAGCCAGGAGATTGCGCTGAGGGCCTGTTACATTTTCAAAGGTTTCTTCTGTTAGGTTTTATCTTTTTTATGTTTTAATGGGAATCCTCGATTGAAGTCATACACCTAGTTTCAAAATGGATTGGGTTTTGATGAATTCCTAAATTTTGCTTGTGTTTGTGATCTGGAAACAAGGATTTGTTTAGGAAGGTTATTATCTTTCATCTACGTTGCCTTTAATTCTTCAATGCTAGTTTAGTGACTTACATTTGTTACATACCAATTTTTTTTTTTCTTTTCGTTTTTTTTTTTTGATATAGCTATTCCTTTGTTGTAACATACAGAGTTGGTTGATGCTGGCCGGCTTAGGGTAATTACTGATTGGAAAATTTAGGATTTTAGACTATTATTAAACGTCTATTGGCTTTGTTTTGTTAAACGATTCATTGCATGTTGTGGTTGAAGCCCCTAGGCTGAAGCACAAGGACCCGGTTGAAGTGGCTGAGCTGAAGATAAGCTTTGGTTCAGCTGCATAAATGACACAAGATAAGCTTCGGAGAAATGAGATATGGCTTTCGGTTCTCAGGGTTGGAATTGGAATCAGAATCCAAATTCATTGGAATCGAATTGAAATGGTCTGTTCCTCCAATCGAATTGGAGTGATCTTTTCCTCCTATCTAATGGAGGAATGCCATTTCACCAGGAATGGGAATATGGAATTTAAATTCTATCCAATCAAATAATTGGAATTGATGTGGATTAGTCCAAAACTCCAAATTTAGATCCCATCCAGAGGTTAATTAGAATAAATCCATCTGTAATTAAATTAAAAAAAATTCGTTCCAACAAATTCAACAGTAAAGTTGAAATTAAAGAAAATTAAAAGGGTTGAATCAAGGTTTTTAGGGTTTGGCTCTCTGAAATGGAGTTTGAATCAGAATAAAAAATCATTGGAATCGAATGTGAATATCCTTTTCCTCGTATCTGTTTGGTTCGAATCGGAATTAATTAGAATGGGTTCACTCCCAAGGAGGTGTTGGGATTAGCCATTTATTGAAAACCAGTTGAAACCAAACAAGTTGCTGTTTGAGAGGGCTGAAGTGAAGTGGAGTGTCTCTTAAGGTCTAACTTTTCCGGGGCTTTACGGTCTACACTGACGGTCTTTTTTAATGCAGAGGTCAAATTGTTTAGTTGGGACCCGTGTGATGTATGGGTTTTATTAATAAAAATTGTGAAAGAGATTTATGACATTTCCAATTGAAGTGTTTATTTGGTTGAGTGTTATGACATTTTCAATTGATTAGGTCAAAATCCGTAGTTCAACCATTAACCCATTTGATCTAGTGTTCATTTTTTTTCGATAACTTTTCATAATCTTTGCAACCCTATTATACCAAAAAAAAACTCATTTTTGTGGTGTTAAATCCCAATTTTTGTCTCTTTTATTTATAAAAGTTAAAAATTAAAACAAAAGTATAAATTGAACCTAAAATAATATATACACACACAAAATGTAATTGTACATATACATATGGATGATGTGTTATGGTTTGATTTATCCAACTTGGACAATTGAACTGTTGACCCGTGACCTAGAGGCAAAACCTATTCGGCCTCCAAGTCGATTTTTAAAACACTAGTTTCATTGTTGAGTGAATTAAATAATAATTTTTCTAAAATATAAATTACTTAATTAATTAATTGAAAAATTATTTATCTTTTAAATTGACTTAAATTATTTACCATTATAATACATCATCGAATATCTCTATTTCAATATAATTATTTTTATTGATATGGAGTAATGAAGAGGAGAGAGAATTAATGGCATGAGTTATTGAAGGGGAGAGAGAGAAAGAGTTAATGGCATATTAATGAGAAGAAATAATTAAAGGAGTTAATGAGAAAGAGGAGAGGGAGTTAATGATGAGTTACTAAGAGGAGATAAATGTATTAACACTTTTATTGGC